CTGCCAGGAGACGTAGGGAAATAAACACAATGTTAAACTACGCAGCAGAAAGGCACGTGCAACTATGCCAGGATGAGGCAGGAAAGCAGAAACAGCTGAACGTCACATGAGGTAAATATGCGCTACATCAGAATTTATTCGGCAAACATGTTTCCATCTCCCGTTTTGCTCATTAACTACTTTGCGAATCATCCAAAAACCACCTCAAGTGAGCGTAAAAACGTTTTTAGCGAATTGAGGATTTTTTTTTCGAATTTAGCTGTTTCCATCCGACTTTTTTTTCGCATTTTTAATACGACACTTCTAAATGCGCATAAAAAAGCCTTGATGGAAACACGGTTAGTATTCACTGAAAACTCTCACGAGGTGGTTTTAGTGTTTTTTGAAAATAAGTTCATGCGCAAAAAGGGAGATGGAAATTTGCCGAATGACTCATCTTTGGTTATTAAACATTTTAAAAAGTCATTTTCTGTAACCAGCCAACCTGAGTTTGTCTGCAGTAAATATGACCCGGCGCTCAAGAAGCAGAGAGGCAAAAACTCGGAGCAGCAGACGGAGGTTTAACGAAGAGAAGAGACACTCGAAGTCCACGTGTTCCAGACGGGAATCTGATGGTCGACACAGTTCTATCACCTGTTAGCAAGAGAGGTGACACAACACAGGGCACGTTATGACAAAGCATACAAACTTTTGTTTCTTCTTGAACTGGACAACTGGCGAAAAGCTCGACCATCAGCTCACCTCTGTCCCAGAACCAGGCAGGAAGTTTTTGACAGTGATTGTCCTTCCAGGGGCAGGGAAGGGAGCCTCCATGATGCCTCTCATGAAAGGCTGCACGAGAGCAGGAGAAATGGCCCTCCTCTTCTCCACTTCATCCAGGATCTGCAAAAAGTCAAAAGAAAACACTCTAAACTGGAGCCAAGAAATGTCTTATGTGTATATTGTTATTTTGTCAAAAAAAAGTGTCTTTTTTCATAGTATCTTTTGGGTGATTTGGATACGGCATGAGTGTTATCCTACACCATGGCATCAGCTGGACTTTGAAGTTATACATAATGAGTGTATTAGCCACGTTGCTTTAATTAGCAAAAGAGAAAACCTGGAGGGAGTTTAGTTTCCTGGCAAGCTGGATGGATGAAATGTGTCACTGTAAAGAAAGCATGGGAGAGAAGACTGCCATGCATAATATTGTGCAACATAATAAGTTTTTAAATTGGCAAATCAAATAAATGTCACCCATGTTTTCTTCAGGTACTCCGGTTTCCTTCAACTGATCAACAAAGTGCATTTTTAGAGTAAATGGTAACTAATATAACCCAGGAGCCAGGGTAAAGGAGAAATCACACACAAAACAGGCCCTGGAACAAACTGGACTCCAGCCAGCCACGGGGTGAAAAGGAAGACCTCAGGCCCAGACTCTGACCAGTCGTCATTCCAAATGTTGCTGGAGTTTCAGAGAAGATGAGATGTTTATTCTCTAAACATCACGTCCCAGTAGCTGTCAAACCCCAGATCTGGTCCCCTGGCACAGAGTAATATTGTGTATGCTGTTAAGTGTCAGGAGGACTGTGACCAGTTATACAACAGGGAAACAAAGCAGACGCTGTTCAAAAGAATGGGCCAACACAGAAGAGCAACATCATCAGGCTGATTATCCCATTGATATATATTACTGGATTGGGCATCACATGACCTGGGCGTGGCTTCACAAGGGGGATTTTTATGCATTGAGCTAATGCTAATGCTAACCATTGAAATCAATGAGCAGAACGTAGCGCGGTGCAAACAAACACTTTATAAATGTACAAATGGTACAAATACTTTGCTATAAACTGTAGAAATTGTTACAACATGGTTACAAAAGATAAAAGGGTTATGTTTCACAGGTAAATATTACGCACATTTAACCAAAATTATTTTAATCGTAAAACCTGTATGCTAACATGAAACAGCTTCAATGTTCATGTTTAACCTTATTTAAAATCGATTTTATCTGTTGTCAAATATATTATTTACTGATATTAAACATGTAAATATGGACTTTATTGGATTGTTGACTAGTTAGACAGCATTATAATTCAAAAATTATCATAGACTCACTAATGACAGACAGTAATGTAATGATTGAGCATCATAAACATAAAAAGTCACGTTGTCAGACAGGTTGGTTTATTCAGATATTTTCTAGATCCAGTATTTCTGTTTTTCAACATTTCCAAAGAAAAAGGAGGAAAAAAAGTGTGTGCCAGCTTCAGATACAGCCTGCATCATTGTGAAACTGAAAACTATTTCTTTTTGATATAAATAAATTCATTAAACAATTCTTTGTGACATGAAATAATTTGTATTTTTTAGTTTGTTTTTACTGACGTTAAAACTATTGCAGTTTACAGCACAAACTTATATAT